TGTTTTCTTCTCATTCCCAATCTTATGTCTCTATGCAATCAAACTCAGTTGCACCTACAAGACAGAGACATGGAGTGAAACATGCACATACAGCCACAGAGAGAAATGGATGAAGAGACAGACTAAGAACACAGGTGCTTAGCTTGGGGAGAGTCAGAGTTCAGGTGCTGCCTTCAGTTTCAAGGCTTGCTGAGCCTCTGGGCATTATGGATAAAACAAAGAACCAAGCATGCTAGTGAAGAGGTTTTGGTTTATGATTTGTGAGAGTAAATAGGTTTGAGAATTAGCAATTTCTGATCTTGTTATCCCTTTCCTAAGGATATTCCACAGTCACATTTTTAAAGAAACGTAAGCAACCCCACCCCGCATTCTTTCAGTGGCAGACATTGCCCACCAGTGGCCATCTCAAATGGCATCTCCCATGGAAGGGCAGGAGTGGGCCAGATGGTACATCCCCAACAGCCTCTGCTTCCAACCTCCCCAGATGAGGACAGATTGACTTTTTCTCCTGAAAACTAACAGGCTCCTCATTGATGTTCAGGTCTTACTCTAATAGCTTGGAAGGAAGGAAAATCATATTTAAAGAAGTATTTTAATTCTATAGGATTTTAAAATATACCTTTATTTAAAGGTTTAGTTCATTTCCAGAGGAGATGTACAATTAAGCCATAAATTGTTAATGTCTATCAGAGACTATCGCAAATTCCTCAGCATGTGTGTATCATTTTTTTTTTTTTTTTACAGTGGAATGAAAAGTTGGTACAGGAACCACGTTTTACATCCCTATCTGTCTCCTAATTAGTTCTGTGGCCTTGTAATAATTTCCTAAACTCTCTGAACTGGGTGGCTTCATTTGTTAAATAAGATCATACTATTCTGGAGTTAAATCTGTCTAATATTAAGGATTTGTTGTATTTCTTTCAATTACTGGCACTCCCCTAAGGAGAAAGTTGAATTTTGACTGTAGTTGGAAAAAGTACGAAATCCATGTATTCCTCTAGCTGTGTTGTAAATATAACAGAGATACATTTTAGCAGAAATCTTCCTGTCATCAGTGGGAACAATTAATTTGTGTGCTGCTCATAGTTGTGAATTTTTATGCTCCACCGTTGGTCACATCTAACTTATTTCTCAGTTTGTCCTTCCTCAGACAAGCAAACCCTAAATATAGCATGGTTTCTATGGGAACGTACTTTATCCTGCAGATTCCAGGAACACATTTTATCTGAAAAATAAGGACTGTCAGATAATATGTCCAAATCCAAGCCTATAATTCAGATTTTATATTTTTTGAATTAATTTGATTTAAGAAGAGATGTTTAAAATTGGTTGAAAAATTGGTCCCATATGAAATTTTTCCAGCTGAGTCGAGTTGGTACAAATTTGCCTTCCGTAATAAGAGTGGAAATTTTACCTTTCATGGAGAGTTCTTCTTGAAATAATTAAGCATATGGCCCCATTACATTTAGATTCTGTTGTTTTATGTCTTTGTGGCCACAAGCACTGTTGGATGATCAGGTAGCAGATGGCAGAGGTGGGGAGGATAGTTACTCTTTTCCAAAGTAAATGAGAATTTTATCAGTTGGTACCTAAATGCAGGCCATAATGAACTTGCATTACAGGTGATCAAGTTTCAGTCCTTTTTAATTTCCTTGGCTGAACAATAACGTTATTCAGGGCTGGGTTGGCCCACAACTGATGAAGGCATATTGGTACCTTGTATCTTTGTGTAGTACAAAAACCCCGTGTTTCCTCAAAATTGTGCTTTGATGTCTTAGGACTGTTAAAAAACGACTGTGAAGTTAGGACAGAAAGTGAAAAGGTTCATGTAAGCAAATGAAAGGCATTTGAGAAAAATGAGCCTTCTTTTTGAACCACAGCATCAAGCTTCAAAAGAACCATATCTCCAAACAGCCCATACAAGGAGAAAAAGGAACTTTAGTGAATTGGAAGTAAGAGGTACAAATATTTTGAGCTTACTCTGAGAATATGAAAGTCACCCAGGAAGTACTTCCTCATACCATTCTTATTCTGAATGTGACCATTTCGGGTAGCACCAAGAAAGTAGGATGAGAAACAACATTGGAAAAATCCCTTTAAGTGGTTCATTTTAACGAGGGAAATTTTTGCAAATACATCTACGGTAGTGAAAATGAAAGCTTTTACTGATAGGAGTAATTCTGAATCTGCTTCACCTCTAACTATAGAGATAAACATCCGTTTGTGGCTCAGATGGCTTATCTGGGCTCTCCATTTTGGCTGTTAAACTTGGTGCATCCTCAGTCTTAAGCTTGAGCTATACCCTCATCGTCATTTATCTCAGGACTGCTGTGGTTGCTGGAGTCTTGGTTCTAGCAAACTGCTCTTACTGACTGTCCGGCTGTAGATCACAGCATGCCACAGTGCCTTGAGCCTTCCACCAGAAGCAAGTCATAAAAGAAAAAGAGCAAGTAAGTAATTTGGGTAGCTATTAATTTTTGGATAGATTGCCTATCTAGAAATTTCCATATTTGGGTTTAGTGAGGAAAAAAAAACCCTAGAATTATGAACTTTTGAAGAATAAGGTTAAAAGGTTCAGTGTGATTGCAAAGGTAAGATCTCAAAGAAAAAGAAAAATGACCATCACACTTTTCCCTTTCCTGTGAACTTATCTCCATGAATTAAATATCTGTAAGATCACTTAGAGACACATCTAAAAAAATAATGTTCCTTGTGTGCTATGTTTATGAAATAGCCTTGTATATGATGTAAAGGGACATATGATGTTGACATTTTGACAACAAGTAATATGTCAGAAAATCTAAGTTTCTTTATAGATGATGCAACCTAAATTTTCATAAAAATCTTACAAAGTAAGTACTATCACTTCCATTGTAATAACTGTCCAGTTAAATATCTGTCCCATTATTAGCCAGTTGGTAAGTGGCAATGCTACCTGTTTCCAAATAGCACACTGTCTTAGCAGGTGTGTCTATTTAAACTATGGAACTGATCAATAATCTAGGCTCTCATTGTTTTTAAATAATTTCAAACTTATGTCTTGTTTGTTTAGACTTTCAGATGACCAGAATTTAATAAAGTAAATTAGTATTTTTGTTGTTTTGAAATTTAATTAGAATTATTGCTTTCCAAAAAAATCTTATAAACATCCTGTTTTATCTGTATGCACTTCTTTAAAAATGCATATTTTTTAACATATGAAATTTAAATTGAAGTTGTCATTATGTTTTAAAGTACAATAAAATATTCTTGTAGGTATGACATTTACTAGATCTAATGATGTTTGTATAAACAAAAAATTAATTATTCACTCCAAGAAGATTTACTATATTGAGATTTGCTCTGTGGAGTAACTTTTCACTCAAACACAGATGATTAAACTCTGCCTCTGGCCATGTGTGCTGAAGATACATGAGGAAATGACATGGATCTTCCAAAGAGAGAAGTTCGAGCTGTTGATGTCTGTGACTCATACTCTCAGAACTAAGGTCTGGAAAAGTTGTTTTTTTTCTTTCTTTTTTTAATTGCCAGAGATTTATTAAATACTCATGAATGCAGTTATGATTTTCTATAACCTAACTGTACCTGTCCCTACTTGCAAAAAGGAGAATGAGGTAAAAAATGCCTTCATCTTGTTTCACCTTCAGAATCATAACATTTATTTGGTTCTTATTTGGTTTTGTTGTTTTCTTTTTCTTTTTTTTTTTTCCAATTTAAAATTGTCTCAAACACACTGACTCATGGGATTTCTGAAGAACATTTCAATGCTGGGAGTACAGCATTGTCACAGCTAAAGCTACATGAAGCCACAGTGACTCAAGTGCCCTATCCTTTAGCACCTAATGGCAGAATTGGCCCTTATGTGCAGGACAGCAGATTACCAGTGTTTTGTACTGCTTGCTGCAAGATCACTGCTCTTTAATCTCTCACACCAGCAAAACTTAAATAAAAACTAAGCAGATCCATCTTCAAACTCCAGCATTTTACCAACATGTCACATAGCAGTTCAAGAAAAGATCAGGTTTAAGAAGAAGAAAGGGATGCAGGAAATATATATATTATAGGCTTCTCCTGGATCAAAAGCTGCTCACAGAAAACACTCTAAAATGCTTTCTGATACATTTTCTTACAACAATTACACACGATTAATGTGGATTTTCTCTACATTAACCCAAATCAGTTTTTCTCCACATCACCCCAAATTAGGAAGGATGATCTTTATAAATCTGATCTGAATGCATACTAGGTGTGCACTGATACTCCTCTGATTTTAAACTTTGCTATTTTGTTCATCAAGAATTGTATTAGTTTTGACTTTTAAAATTATTTTGAGCCAGGCATGGTGGCACACATCTGTAATCCCAGTGGCTCAGAAGACTGAGGTAGGAGAATCATGAGTTCAAAGCCAGCCTCAGCAACTTGGCAAGGCCCTAAGCAACATAGAAAATAAAAATAAAAAACAAAAGGGCTGTGAATGTGGCTCAGTGGTAAAGCACCCCTGGGCTCAATCCCTGATTCCAAAAAAACAAAATCAAAAGAACAAAACTCTATATAGATATAAATAGATATAGATATACATGATATATATATATATATATATAAACTTTATTTTAATTACTAAGATCTTTGGCCCTAACTTAAATTTTGCACCTGAAATTAAAATGTCTCATGATACCCTCCTTCCTGATATGTGTGGATACACACAGCTGTTTGTAGAATCCTAGGTGCACAGCTCTGAAGTTCACATTCAAACAAACGTAATTTTGTTATTTTATTTCGCTGGATTCTGTTCCTTCAATATGTTTAAATTATTAGGCAGAATCTCTGACAATATGTTTTGGGTACAAAATTTGGGGCTTGTAAATAGTTGTCTGAGATTGCCAAATTCAGTACTATTAATGCTCAGTTGTTGAATAGTTTTTGTATATACATCATAATTTTGTTAAACTTTGATTTAGGTGATTATGATCTAAGTTCATCCTGTGACAAAACATGGAGATGATCAATACCACTGCTTTGCCAAATGTCTCAAACATGGACCTCGACCACTGTGATGCATATTGCAGGACGATTCTGATAACACTCTACAGCGTGGTTTTCCTGGGAGGCACTATTGGAACAGTTATAATGTCATGCATGATGTTCAAGAGGAATAGTCAGTCAGTGATTGCCATCATCATCTTCAATATCATGGTGCTGCACTCTATCCTCCTGGTCAGCCTTCCGTTCCGCCTCAGCTATTACCTGTCAGTCATCTGGGAGCTGGGAACCTTTGCCTGCCGAGTGGTTAGCAGCATCATATACTGGCATATGTACTTCTCCTTTGTTTTCTATATAGTTATTGTTATATTCCGATTACTCATCTATTTTAAAAAACTCCAGACACAACAATTACAAAAGTACCATGCGGTAGTCTTAAGCATAATTATTTGGATGGTGGGTAGCCTTATTTTTTTGCCAATATTTTTTTTACAATATGGCACAGATCCAAGTTACTCAGGAAAACAGAGATGCTTTGAGTTCTACAGAGATCTCAGCTGCAGGCAAATCATTATCATGAACTACTCTATGATTGTCATTATGATGACAACGGTTGTCATCCTCTTTTTGATACAGATGGCTGTCATCCTTCAGCTGGTGAAGGCTCTCTGGCCTGACATGTGGGCCCATCAAGAATATAGAGCCCAAATTAAGAGTTTTTTCTTTCTCCTAGTCATACTCATCTGTTTCATACCCCACCATGCATTTCGGGTATACTTTATTCAAAATTATTCGGGGAGAGAAGATTCTAAGTTAGTTCTTTACAATGAAATTTGTATTGCTTTAACGACTGTCTGTTGCCTGGACATGCTGTGTTTTATAGGTGGAGTTATCCACTAACCCTTCCTATGTTACTTGCTTTGTAATCAGTTTCCCCATAAATGTGACAAAATTGTTTTAGTTGACTGGTGTTGCTGTGATTTCAAGATTTTTCAAGCTCCTTGCTCTTACACATCAAATGTAGATTGCTCTTTATCAACATTGGTTTTCTACAAAAAGATAATAAGGACGGATTATTCTCCTTTCTTGCAAGAACAATTATCAGGCCCACATTTACTATAGTGCATGTTCAATCTTTTAGCACAATACAAATTGACCACACCATCCTTTTTTTTTCCCCCCTAATGTAATGCTGACTTCAGCTAAGGTCAGGTGGTGGTACTCTCCAGATATTTGCACTTGCTACAATGCTCTTTCCCTCCATTTCTATTCTTTAAGATCCAGAGAACTTGAAAGTAGGAACTCAATAGTTAAATTGGGCTTTATTCTTTTTTTTTTTGAGGTATAATTTTATTTTATTTTTTAATTTTTTTTATGCAGTTAAATTGGGCTTTAGAAAAACCTTAATTTATTCAACTTGTGATAGATGCCTCTTGAAAATTACTTATTGCCAATAAAGCTACAGGCTTTGGTATTCCAAGGAAAGCTTTAGCTCAAAGATAGTAGTCAAGAGATTTAGAGGAATGACTGGAATTGATGTGGGTCAATGCAGATGCAGAGGTGGTAGAAACTCTGTAAGTTGAGGCTACTCCCCAGATCTACCTTCCAAAACATGAACCCATTAAGCAGAAAATGAAATATGAAAAGGCAAGAAGAAACTGGACTTAGTCAAAGCATGCCCATAGACAAGTTCAAACCTTTGAGACCATGGGACTTCTTGTATGATTTCTCAAGGCACCCTGTACAACAAAGTAGCATTACATAATTAAAATTAACACTAGTATCACAGAAGCTCAATAAAAACAACCAAGACAATCAACTTGAATTCTACCTGTATGATACAGAAATTGACATGCACTACTAGTGATGTTATCTTTGAGACTATATTTAATGAACCATATAGCTAAATAAGATACAGGACAAAACTGTGTTTAGTAACCATGAACCTTTGAGTGAAATATTTATAATCTCTGTCCTGTTTTTAGTGTTGTAGGGTTCTGATGAAGCGGAACAATGTAACAACATGTGTTAAATATTGGAAGAATGCCTGGCATGTGGGTCTCAGAATGACATTACTCCTCTTTCCTAATTCCATGACATCTTTTAGCAAGACAATTTTAATATGGTTCCTCAAATTACACAAAATGTTGATCCATATAGCAATATATTTTGAAATCCTAAGATGTTATTGATCAATGTTGACCTTATACTTTGTTATTAAATCAATAATTAAATGAATGCTTATTACTATTCTTGCCTATAAGAACTTGCCATTATTATTAATGTAATCACTATACTTCAAGTATTATAGTAGAGCTATTTCATAATTCTGTTGTCATAGAACAAGATAAATAGCAGTGTACTTGAATTGCATTTAATCAATGTTTCTAAGGGACATAGTGTGCCTTAAGTACTAATCTCAAGATGAACTGCAATTGACTTATTCAGTGCTCAACTTACTCATATACTGGAGTCCATGAGTTTATTTTTAATGTCATATGCAGTCCCTTAAAAGGCCTCCAATGATCCATGTCTCCTAATATTCATATCCTTATATAGTCTTCTCCTCCTTCATTGACTAATGAATGGAATAAAGCAGAGAAATGGATGTTATATCCAATGTTAGGTTGTAAAAAAGCTGCAGCTTCCATCTTGGGCACTCTGTCTCTCTTTCTCTCTCTTGGATTGCTTCATTCAGGAGGAACGTCATGCCACGAATCAGGCCTATGGAGATGCCCAGGTGGCAAAGAATTGAGGTCTCTTAACAGTCATGAGAATGAACTTAGAAACAGATCTTCTGAGTGGGCATGGAGTGAGCACAGAAGTAAATCCTCTCCTGTTGAGCCTCAAGATGACAGCAGCACTGGTTAGCACATTGCTTACCGCCTCAAGAGAGATCCTGAACCCCACCACTTGGCTAAGCTGCTTCTAGATGGATGACTTGGAACTATGAGATAATGAATGCTTGTTTTAAGACTTTATGTTTTGGGATAATATGCTATTTTATGCAGAAATAGAAAAGTAAAATGATAAACCAATTATTTAGGTTGTAGAAGACTGCTACATAAAACCCTGTGCCTGACATTTACAACCCACTTGCTAGTCTCCATCTGCTTCTGTTGTTGGTAATAATGAACACATGCTTGCCTGTTCTCTGATGCAGTCAGAAGTGTGTCTGTGATTGTATTAGAATCTTTATTTTTTATCCTGGATGAGAAGGAGTGGGTATACATGAGAATACATGGGTATACCTTGTGGTATTTGGGGTAAATATTGCAAGAGGAACCGTTAGGGGTGAGATAGAATTGTTAATTATGTTAAATATTGGCTATTGGATTTCCATGTGTAGTCTCTGACTATGAGCAGCACCTATGACCTTGTGTATTACTCTTTGTTGTTATAACAGAGTACCACAGACTAAGTAATTTATAAAGAAAAGAAATTTGTTTATCAGAAGTATGGATGTTGGGAAATACAACATCAAGATATCAGCATTTGGTGAAGTCTTCTTGCTTCATCATTTCATGGAAGAAGGCAAAAAGGCAGGAGAGAATGTGAGAGAAAGAGAAGGCCATATTTCTTTCCTAACAAGCCCACTCTCAAGATAACTAACCCACTTTTATGATAATAGCATTAATCCACTCATGAGGATAGAATCCTTATGATCTAATCATTTATTATTAGGCCCCAACTTCCAACTATTGCATTGGAAATATATCTCTATCCATTTGAGGGAACACATTCATACCATAGCACCTTACTGAAATGCAGATTCTCAAGTCCCACCTGAGACACACTGATTCTGAAATTTGAGGTGTGAGGCCTATAACATGTGGTTTAACATGCTCTTTCAGTGATTTTGTAGCAGGCTAAAAATATACATGATGCTGAGGATCAAACCCAGTGCCTCACACATGCCAGGCACAGGCTTTAAGAGATTGTCAACTTTCATATTCTGTTTTGTGAGCACTGGCTTTTGGAGCCTGAATTTCCATAGAAGAAGTCTGTTGGAGAGATTACCTGGAGATGAGACTACATGGAGAAGAGGAGAAGAGCCAGATAAGACCAGTCTTCCAGCCAAAGCACCAGCTATATGAATGAAGCTGTCTTGGACTCTCCATACCAACCTTGCTGCCATGTGAATATCACCAAGTGACCTCAGTCCACATCACATGGTGCAGAAAAATTGCCCACTCCGTCGTATCTAAATTCCCAATCATAAGATTATAAGATATAATGAAATAGTTTATTCTAGGGATAATTATATAGCAATTGATAATTACCACATATATAATTTAAAATTTTCTAGTTGCCATATTTAAAAATTAGAAACTATTAAACTTAAGATTATAATTTATTTAATCCATTTTATTAAAAAATATTACCATTTAAAGACATAGTCAGTACAAAACTTATTGGTGGGATACTTTGCATTATTTTATTCATGAGAAGATTTTCAATCCAGTGTATATTTAATGCTTGTAGCACATTCTAATTCTCAGAAGTTATATTTCAATAGCCATACATAGCTCATGGCCACTATATTGGACAATATAGATACAGATCATCCAGAGATTATTTAGAGGTGGGTCTCAGGATCCTTTCCTTATAGGATGCTGGCCCTGTAATCTTTCTGATATTCGTTTTCTCCCTTGTTCAATGGGAGTAGAACCTACTTAGAGAGTTGACATGAAAATTATATTGGATTATATAAGGCACAAATTGACAATGTCCCAGTGTGTATCAAAGACTCTAGAAGTCGATTTTTATCATTCTTACTGTGCTTGTTGGAGATACTGGGAAGAGGACAAGGGATAGAATACTGCAGGATCAGGTGCCCTTCAGCATTCCTGGGATGGTTTAGCTTGTATTTTCCAGCAAAACTTTGTTCCTACTTCCTGCCTACTTGTTTCTGCATCCTACTAACATCCCTGATCTCAGCTGTCCATGAGTTCTGTACTACAAATAAGTACTGACCTTAAGGGTGGTCCTTCCTTGGGGAAAATTTTCAGACTGCATCCCCCTGAGGAATCCTACCTTTAATTTTCTTTGACCCAATCTGTGTTATTTCCATATCAGGTAATCTCTCTTACCTACGTGCATATTTAATTCCCAGGTATCAACACGTATTACTCAGTTAAATACAAACAAATACTTTAAAAATATTGAAGATGGGGCTGGGATTGCGGCTCAGCGGTAGAATGCTCACCTAGCATGGGCAGAACCTGGGTTCGATTCTCAGTCCCACATAAAAATAAAGGCATTGTGCTGTGTCCATCTACAAAAAAAAAAAAAGATTTTCTCTCTCTCTCTCTCAAAAAATATTGAAGATGGATATCTCAGATATTAATAGGCCTTTGATTGAATAAAAATGTGTGCATTTTTTAAAAACATTTTTTAGCTGTTGATAGACCTTTTATTTATTTATACGTGAGGATTGAACCCAGTGCCTCACACATGCCAGGCAAGTGTGCTACCGCTGAACCCCAGCCTCAGCCCCCATACATGTTTTTATTAACAAATTTATAATTGATCCAGGCCCATAGACCCAAGGGCCAGAAATGCTTCCTCCTGTGAGTCCACACACCAGATGGACAGCTGTAGCCACCATGTAGATCTGCCCTGTCCTGCCTTCTTTGCTCAAACTCATAATTGGTAATTCATTATCCTACAAAATGGCACATGATCTCTGATGTCCATACCTAAATGTCTTTTATCCTCCCAGTGTTTGTGGTTCTTGTGACACTAGAACACTGCTGGGTTCCAAGAAGAGACTGAATAAATGGTCCCCTTTCCAAATTCAAGCAGTACTTCCTTGGATGAGCCCCAAAGCAGTTCTGCTTGGGCCAAGAGTCTCACAGAGTTCTGTTAGCTGTTGGCCTCTATTCCATGTGTAAAAT